ATTAAACATTCAGAATGACCTTCCTTCATATGCAGGGACTGTTCACCCATTTTCAACAAAACCTGCAGCTCCTGAGGACTGTTTGCTGTTCACTGTTTCAAGCTGTCAAACACTTCAGAGAGCAAAGACATGAACCAAAACATGCATGTCTTTACAGCTCAAATCACAGCCATTATGGCAGCATATGTTGTCTTCTCTGCTTTGTTGTGGCCAGAATCACTTCCTAACTACTCCAATGAGATGAGATCTGTATAAACACAACCTTCCTCACACTTTATGAGAAAATAACACACATTTTCTTGTCACTGGCCAGCCTTCTGTGCACGCAGACACTTGCATTTACTCACTTGGGCTTTGTTTTTTTCTCTCACTAAACGCTTTTCTCCCACCAGGTATTCTTCCTTCTTCTTTAGACGGAAAGAGATTTATGTCATCCAGTAAGTTGGGTTTTTAGAGTGTGTGTGTGTGTGTGGCACATTTTGTTGTGTTTGCATGCTTGTACTCTGTGTACTTTTCACTCGTCACTAATGTATTTGTATGATACCGATTAGGGCTCAAGTTAAATCATCCATCTGTGCTGTTTATTAAACTATTAGTGGAGGCCGATGGTTGAATGAATCAGTGAGATCAACGTTTTACCTACAGCCTGCTTCTTTGCCTCCATCACTGGCGGGGATTGCAGAGCTTTGCTGATGCTCCTCTGCTTAAGACCGTTTTAATTTGTTTACCCAGTCACTACTATCTCAAAATTGCTCGGAAGGCTTAGAGGGCACAAATGGTAAGCTTTATCGATAGCTCAAGATCTGCATAGCTACAAGTCGCAATGCTGCAAAGAAACATCCCCCCCTCCACCCCTCAGGGAACAGGCACATGCTATTGATGCAACTGATGTTCACGTATTCCTTTAGAATGAGACATCAAAGTCTGTGTTGGTGTTTAATCAAAGTAGATTCGATTATGAAGTGATTAAACCGCCTTTGCTTAAACACACTTCCCCATGTACTTTCAGCAGTAAGGATCAGTTAAGCTGTCATGGACAGAAATACCACAGTATGGGCTGTGATTATGGAGTTAATTTGTTTATTTTGGGTTGATATTGCCTGTTTATTTTTGTCCTTAGGCTGCTCAGCTACAGGAAATCGCTCAAGTAAGTCATCCTGTATAAATAATGCGAATATGCGCACAAGAGCTGTAGCATAAATCAGCACGTTCTGTACTGCTCAGTATTGCTCCTAACCTAGAATAAGTTTACAAAAAAAATAAAAAAAATAGCATAGTGTTGTGGTGTTTTTTGCACATCTCTCTGTTTCTCACATTCGGTGTATTTCTCTGCCGCCTTCACTGTCAGGCCTGTCAACAAGAAGTCTTTTCTGCAGCATGTAGAGGATCTGTGTGCCACTGACAATGCCAAGTTTCAGGAGGAGTTTGCTGTAAGTGTTTGCCTACAAGCTGGACCTACGCTTATCAAACCCATAAAGCCACAAATATATGAATAGAAATGAAATAATAGGAAACTGTCTTCAATTTACAAACAAACTGGAGTGCGAGGGATTGTCTGCTGTTGGCAGACAAAATCAATGCCAGCTTTATTCTTGTTTCTGTTACTCTCAAAAATGCATAAGTGGGAGGTATAAAATACTGCTGGATATTTGGAGATAAAAAAAAAAAAAAGAGCTGCAAATGTTCGTGTAAAATTGCGCTTATTTATTTCTCACCAAAACCACTGATGCACTAGAATCATTACATTTCACTATACTGCAGCCAAGTCAGACCCAAACAGGTCACTCTTAACCAACTTTGAGATGTCAGAAGAGCTCTGACATGTAATAGTTTCAAAGTCAAAACAATAAAGATTAATACCTTTATTAATTTTACCAGTCGGAGACAAGTCAAAAGGATACTTTTTTTTTTGCTTTTGTCTTTCCCTTCAGATTCATAGTTTTACCTTTAGCAATTATTAATAGTGGCTTTGACCTTTAGCTTTATGCACGTGTGTTTTTGTGAATACTGATGCGTTCAAATTTATCCCTCCAGGAGCTCCCAAAATTGCTGCAGGACCTGGCCACCACAGACGCTGACCTACCCTGGAACAAATCCAAGAATCGCTTCCCGAACATCAAGCCCTGTATGTGGTCCGACTGAAAATGAGCTTTTCAGGGCTGCAGTACTTACAGTGACTGCTTCTGTGTTGCAGCTCTGTTATAAACTGTAAATGGGTTTTACCGTAGCATGATTTAATCGGAGCTGCATTTCATACGTTCCAACTGCATTTTTTCTCACTGTGCTGTGTCTAGACAATAACAACCGAGTGAAGTTGCTGTCAGAACCAGGCACTGCGGGCTCAGACTATATCAACGCCAGCTTTGTCTCTGTGAGTACCAGCCAGTACTAAGCAAGAATCATAATTCTGTCTGATAGGTTTTTTTAAGTTTAAACATGCCTCCCTGTCTCGTTCTGTGTCTCTGTAGGGCTACTTGTGTCCCAATGAGTTCATAGCCACCCAGGGTCCTCTGCCCGGCACTGTGGCCGACTTTTGGAGGATGATCTGGGAAACAGGAACCCGCACCATCGCCATGCTTACGCAGTGTTACGAGAAAGGCAGAGTGCGTCATGAGAGATTTGACACTGTTATGAAACGCCACTAATATTCAGCATTCAGAGTACTGGCTCCGTTTTGGGCTTCATTCCCAGGAGAGTTATATCTGCTATGAAGATCTGATGTATGTTGGTGTTTATCCGTAAATGTGTGTGTGAATGCATGCGTGTGTGTGTGTGACATTTCAGATTCGGTGTCACAAGTACTGGCCCGAGGACAACAAGCCGATGTCGGTGTTTAGTGACATTCTCATCTCAAAAGTGTCAGAGGAAGTCCTTCCTGACTGGACTGTCAGAACCCTGAAAGTAGAAAAGGTACCGAGCTGAAAACCACACACACTCTCACAGAGCACACACATAACACGTGGACTGTACATGTGCACGCTGTTGACTCTGAAACACTTAAAAAAAACCAGACAGTACCAGTTTTATTCCTTACTAATTAGAGAATTCTTATTATATAATTAATTGCAATTCATATAATGGAAAATTTATGGGAAAATCTAATCCTATGAAAGAAGTATATTTTCAAAATGCACAGTGAAACGTTTAGTTATATTTATTTGTTCATGGTGTGTTAGTTTGGTATTATTTAGGGAAGGATAGGAAAGTCTTCAAAAGGGATCTAGTAAAAAAAATTAAATTTAAAAGGCCATTTTTTTGGTAAGGGACAGTGGAGAGAACGACAAAAAATGCAAGAGAGAGCAGAAGAATTACATCCAGCAAATGATCCCCGGCTGGGATTTGAACAGGGGATCCGCTGCTCAAGAGATATGTGCCCATGTGGCGTATATCCATTATCCAGGCAGCGGGTCACCCAAGTTAAAATTCATTTGAAGGCTTTTAGTACGACCACATGGCAAAGCATGAAAACGAAACAAGTTTGGAGAAAACAAAGATGTGAATCAGCTGAATTTTTTGTTTTATTACACACTGTAGGTGAAAAAATGACTATGTTAATGTTCTTATCAAAAGAGAGTTGAGTCAAAAGTAACGCTGAGATTCTTGGCCATCACACAGTTAGTTAATGTTTAACCGGTCAGAATGGTGTTTGTGTGGGAACGGGCCAATTAGCGTTTCAGTTTTATCAGAATTTAGGAGCAGGAAATTATTTTCCATTTTACTTTTCACAGCTGATGAGCAACGCTTAACTTGATCATTTGATAATGATCATCCACAGCGTTTATAGAAAATGAGCTTAG